AAAGGTGTGTTAGAAGCACCTGAGATCTGGAAAAACAGGATATGAATTCCAATGCTGGGCAGCTATAGAAGGGGAAGACAGCTGTGATTCTAGAGCAGCAAAGCATCAAGCCTAGCCCTTCGTATTCATATCCTGAGTGATCACTGCAACCTCAGGCAGTTACAGTTGATTGCAAATCTGTGTGTTTATTTTTACACAAAATTGAAACCTCAGCTTACTACACTTAAGTTTTTATTAGCTTTGCTACAGATTTCTGTTCATTGAGTAAGATTTGCACTTAAATAATAAGCTATATGTAAAAGAAACCATAACTTACAACTTGACACTGAATTGTCCATTTCTAGTAATTGACAAAATTTTTGCCTTAATAAATCTCAGAAGTAATTATTTACATGATACTTTAAAATTAGCTTGTGGCTTTAAACAGCAGTTCCAGAATGCACTGTTTTGTCACAGATGTTTCCAAAACCAGTAATTACTCCCAATAAGCACCTGATAATATTGTTTATAATTGGATTTACAAGGGAGACCCAATTATTCCAAATACATTAGGGTGTACAGATGCCTGCTTATCTACTTGACAAGGCTGAGGGGAGAATAACTTGAATATTATAGAAGCATTTAAGTATTCTTCATTATTTTTTTAACTCCCTAAAATCTCTGCACATAGCCTGCCTCCATTTATTTCAGTGCTGCTTTTATGATCTACAGTACAGTTCTAACCTTCAACACATCCACCAGGAGCAGAGTAGCTCCATGGAAACTAAGATTTCTTTTGGAACTGATTTTTTTTTATTTTAATCTGTCAGTTAGCAAATGATCTGGCATAGCCAATGCATTTCATTGAGACATGTTGAGTATGAAGACAATGTATTTTTCAAGTTTGCTTTACAAATTATTTTCCATATTTAAGTGGTACTAATAGCTTCTGCAGTTGTAAGGTGAAATAAGAAAGCTACCAATTCCCTATTTGATTTCTATTACAGTAAACATGCTTAAGAAATAAGCAAGCTCACTGCTTTTGCTGCAGAACAGAATGCAGAGTTGTGAAATTCTTAATTATATACTCACTGAACAAGTTCACTTAGGACTCCTAAGGCTGACTAATGATCAGATTCTTATCTTCATTGTTAGATAAAAGTAAATCATGTCCTGGAAAAATAAACAACTGCTTTGCCCTGCGTCCACAAAACTCCCAAACAAAAAAACAATTAATAAAGCATCTGAGATTGACTTACGTAAAAGCACTTGGATCTCTCTCTCTGAATTCACACCCAAGTTCAGAACATCATATGAAACAGCCTTCAATCAGGCTGGGCTTATCTTCAGAAGGCTTGTATTTTTAAGATATAACATTACAAACACTAGGCAATTCAAATGGGTATTTAGTTACTTAAGGGGGATCCCTGCAAAAACATTTTGCATCAGGAAGATGTCTGTTCAGCATAGCTGGTTGCCTATTATGCAAATACTTCTTGAAATACTTGCTAAAAAACACTCTAAACTTCTAAGACAAAGCATTTACAACAATTTTAAATAGTAAGGAGGGAAATTTTATTTCATTTACAAAGCCATTCCCACTTCAGCAGTGGTCTAAACACTGAAAGCAGAAAATGTAACTATTTTAATGCGTATTTCATATAATTCCTGTTTCTTTGGCATGAAGGTAAACCTCTAGCAGTTACTGAGAAACTTCAAAGCAATATTAATCCTTATTGGTGTGCTGTAGTAAAGCCCTTTGAGATATAAGGATACATTATTTTTGCAATAGAAAATGTTTACAAGGTCTAAAGGAAATCTAGGAAGTCATTAGTCTGTAGAGTAACTGTGCAGTGCAGCAGAACGGGGAGCGGGAGGAAGAAGGAAAGTTGTCTGAAATCAGTGTGTATTTATTAGGTGTAAATCCAGATCTAATTTTTTTTGTTAGAGAACGGAATTACACTGTACCATATACTTCATACTGTACCAGTGTAACACCTGTAGAAATTGCCATTAACTTTTACATATTTAAGCATAGCTTTGTTTGTTTGTTTTTCTAATAAATATCATCTTTGAACCAAGATGCCCTTCTGTTTGCAGCTGTAGTTGTCTCAGCTTAGGTCTGACAGCAAGCTTGTGGTAACTAACATCACTGTGAGCTTTGTACTTCATGGTTTACAAAGCAATTCCTGAGAAAACACGCGGAAAACTCATCTTTAGCTCACTTGTCAAAGATTTATGACATGCAGTAAGGTTAAATAAATAATGATGTACAAATGTATCTCTGGTAAGAACTGAAAAACCTGCCTATAGCTCTTGGACCTTTTGAGGTGCATCCTCTCACTGCGGGATGCAGAGCAGTTGTAGAAGCAGATATTTTTTATCTGTGAGCATTTCCTATGTGATGTTTGAGGGGAATTACACTCTTGAGAACTACTGTCCAAAATTTCCTGCCTTTTTAGGTATGTCCTGCAAAATTGGCAAGGAGAACAAAAAACATATATGCTTACTTTACATGAAGGTAACTTTCTGTTTTTGTTGCTATGAATCCTCATTTTCTGATTTAGCAGAGAATCACCTATCACAAAATGCAAAAGCTAAAGGACAAGCTGACTTTAACTAGCTTTCATTTTGCTGCATGTTTAAACAATGCACACAGACAGACATTACAAATGTGGGTTTTTAGAAAACACACAAAAAAAACCTTAAAATTATTACTGTAAAGCCAACTTTGCTTCCTTTTAACACTAGTTACACAAAGGATTCTGATCATGAGAGTACTAAAACAGGGGAAGCTTAACAGGAACGTCAATACACCAGCATCCTGTGTACTACAGTGCTTTTCTTTTTTTGTTCAGTAATTCTATTCATAAACACATTGTGTGTTAGTTTGAAGCTAGGCTAAAGTTAATCTGCAACCCCCAAAGGTATTGTAAGAAAAAAAATGTTTCTTTGCCATCAACTGTTTAAGGGGAAAGTATGGCAGACACGTGCCTTAAGAAATGAAAATCACAGTTCTTAGAGCTCATATTTGTCAGAAAGCTGAAGCAGTGTATTAACATCCAATAGTCTCCATTGCCATAGCAACGTGTGCTTGTCAGATCAGGGCTGATTTGATGCAGGCACCTTAAAGGCAGAAATAATCTTCTAACTCTTTTAATACAAAGCTCCAGATTTCAATAGGATTTTCATTTCATTTCTTTTAGGAAGGTAATACTGTTATACAATGCAAGGTGCACGCCTCAAGGTAAGCTATCTGGTCTGGATCTGTGCAACCTGCTCTTTACTACAGCAATGTTCTCAGGTACGTAATGCAGCCAGGCATGCAAGAGGAACCCTGGCTGCAAGTTTTCTCGTATGGAAAATTGTAAATGAAAATAATCTGGTCTGGGTACCTAATTAGCATTTATACAATTGCTGTTCCCCTTGGAATCAATAGATATCCTGCTCCCTTTATTTCAGGAAAAGCAAAGATTTGTTCAATTTTGACCTACAGTCAAGTCAGCCATAAGATAAGCCATAAGGTAGCATAGCATATACAGATAGACAAAGAGGGAGAGAAGTGCAGAATTATGTTTTATGCAATTTTACATAGAAAGTGGGCATGAGAAATACTGTTATGCAGCTTTGAGTCTGTTATTACTAAATAACTATTGCTACATTTGCAATAATTTCTTTTCTTTATTATTTGACTAAAATAAAGAATTGCAATGCAAAAAGCTCTCAGCTAATGTGGCACACTTTAGAGGAATTCATCACACATTACTAAGCTTGGTTTCCACTGCAGTATGCTGTAGTTTTGAACCTTTGCACACTTTTAATAAATCAAGCATTGCGATATTCAAAAATACAAGCAGATTGAAATGTTAATGTTTTGGAAACTGAGGATTGAATCTTGCTTAAGTGTAAGCATTACGTATATTCAATACTGTGTTGTTCGTGCTTTTTGATTGTACGTTTTTCCTTCCAAAATTGGCTCATTCCTTTGCTGGAGGACAAATACAGAGATTCCCATGGAAATATTACCTCAGTCACATAACTGCATCTTACATTGCTAGAATCAACTTGCATACACATTATTCTGTAGCATAATCTGTCTGTAGAGCAAATTATTCAAAATCCCAAGTCATTTCTAACAATTCACGCAGTAAGAGATGGTTTTGCTTCACACAGTCATAGATTCCTTTAAATTGACCCCATAACTTATCTAGTTTGCAATAATACTAAGAGTCAAAAAAATTATGCTGCTTTGTGATCCTTCTTCAAACATGAGCAGTCAGTGTGGTTTGCTTTGAACTAAATCATCCTAAAACAAAGATCCTTCCTTCAAATATAGTTTAATACTTCTGTGTTCAAACTTCAATGGTAGGTTTACAAAAGTTTCTTACAGACTTGCTGAAAGATTTTTCTATGAATCCGATTAAGCCATTAGCAGTACATGTTTGAGACACACACTGAGATACCCCACAGAATGGCAAACAGATAACTCAGTAAGTCACAGCAGGTACTCTCCACTTCATATTAAGTAGCACTACTTGCTCGTTATGTGTCTTAATCATTACTATAAGGCTTATGATGTGCTTGGACTTGCAATAAGTTAAAATATTTTACAATGTTTATTCATATCAGATGGTTTGCAGGGTCACCTGAGCATTGGCTGCTCAGGGCAATATGAAATCAAAAAGATTCTAGTGAGATGAGATAGTTTCTCACATCTATTGTTTTCTGGATCCTTTTTAATAAAGCCAGCCATCTTCTTTGCTTTTAAATAAGGCATTAGACAGGAGTACAATAAAAACTTCTTTTTAGAATTTAGAATACTATTGAATGCTATTTAGAATACTAGTTTCAAATGTTCAATTTGCAGCCCAACTACAATAAGAACTGTAATCATAATTGAAAATCTGTTGGATTTATCTCTAAAAGTAAATTCCCAGTAATCCTTCAACTTGGAACTGAGTATTTATAGGAGTCTCCTACTATACTTGATTCATCTTTTAAAAAATGTTGTTAAAAAAGTTACCTTGAAAACATTTTGCAGCACTCCACTTTCTTCCTTCACTCATTGTTTCTGGGGCGCTTCATCTCAGGCTCTCTTTCTTGGTCAATGGCTAAAAAAAAGAATGTATATACACAGTTAAAAAAAAAGAAAGAAAGAAAGAACAGCAACAAGACAGCAACACATAACACTTGTTAGTAAAACAAAAATCCTTTACAGAAAAAAAGAAATTCATGAAAAAGCTGATCTTTCCAATTCAAAGAAAAGTACTTATTACAGAGAAACGTTGCATCAGCACTGTAAAGCACCACAGCTATTGTGCCTGGACTAAAATATGGTGGTGGGATACAGTCTAAAACAACACTTCAGAACAATAGAAAAACAGGGCTAGGGAAGTGACAAGAAACACACATCTCCTGGACTCTGCTGGCAATGAGCACAGATCACACACATCTAAACTATCCTTAGCAGCTACTAAATTTGTTTGGTCTATCTCAATAGATTCCAGTTGTTTTAAGAGTCTCACGTTTAGCTACAAGTAAAAAGCTTTATACCAAAGTAATTCCTAATTGCTACAAAAGTACACAAAAGTCCTGTCCTCTCTCCAGTAGGTACACAAAAACAATCTCTCACTATTGCCTTGTACATACCAAAAGAGTTACCATACCATCTGAAGCTTGAAGCAAAGAACAAGTCTCCTACCCTGTGAGAAACGCAGGTCCTTAATTGATACCGACGAAGGGGAAATGAGTACAGGAATACTAGTCAGAAAACCACTTAACCTGCTAAATATGCATTAGCATGACTGCTGTCAATCATAACATTCTGCACTGACTAGGTGCAGAAAGCTTTAAGCCTTAATAAACTGACATATACTGTGATTTTACAATTTTACCTTGTCCTTCTAAAAGGGTAATACAGAGCATATTTCAAAGTACTGTGTGAAGTACAGAACACTGAAAGCATCCCAAACTGTTATATAAGACCAACTAGAAGGCAGGAAATTGCAAAGCTCCATTAAAGATTAGTTAATTACTTCCAATACTCACCTGGGAGAAAACAATGCATTTTTTTGTTACTGTTTGTTTGTTTCTCCACTCTCTGCAGCTGCTGAAAAACAGCTGCCTGTTTTGCAGGGTAAAACTGAGAATTACTAGTTTCTGGGCAGCTGCTACACTTGTATGAAAACACTCAGCTTTTTGAAAGAGCTGGAAAAGATGTGGAGCTACAGCTGTGGTGTATTCAAGTAATTCAGCATGAGATAGCAGTAGCATGTCACATTTTTACCAATATATGAAGGAATAGAGTTGGTATAAAAATTTTTTTTGCCCTCTATGTACACTGTGTGTTTACTATGTTAATTTCTTGTTTGCCGGTTTTGCATCCTAGAATTCAGACCAGGAATTGTTACACACACCTTGCATTTCCACCAGAACCTTTCATTAGAATTCTAGTTTCAAAACCCAGTCACTATTCTTACCTTTTGAAATACCCAATATAATCTTTTCAAGTAGGTAAAGTGACAGTGATCTTTACACTGACTGCAGAGAGAGCCATGGACAGATTACTTAGAAATAAATTTAATTACAATGCTTACAAGCCACAATCACAGAACAGCTTAGTTCTCCACTAAGGCAATCAATCCAGTGTGTAGTACTGTACAAAGTTGAAATCAGGTTAGCACAACAATTGCTCAGACGTAGCTTATACCTACCTAAGCCAGAAGTTAATCTTTAAGAGACAGAATTCCAGATTTGCAATACATTATCTACTTCCACAGAATATTTTTTCTTTTCAAATAATGTTTTGAAACCTCTTAAAATATATAGCTAATTATTAATTTGATCTATAGTTGTATATCTTCCAACTTTAGGATTGGTGGTATTACTTAAATGTATTTCTTCCTGAAGTTACAGTATGTAGGTTGCTTCCAAAGCAATGCCTTCTATTTATTTCCATAGAACCTACAAGGATACAAAGTACACAATAACATTATTTGATAGATCGGATTCTCAGCTGTAAAATTCTGTTTCTCAGCAGTCACCACCACTAGCTATGCATTTTTGTCAGTGATGAACAAGAGCCAGCATGCTGCACTCATTAAAATCTGCTCCAATGGAGGTGACCTAGTGCTGCTGTCATCACTGCTGAAACACACCACCCACCACTGCCTGATCTCCACAAACATTCAGCAATTGTCAATGAATGTCAATGGGTGCATTTCTTGTCCTGCATGGAGGAATTCATTTCCACACCTTTGCTTCCTACAGGCTTCCATGTCAGTTGCCATTCTGTCAGACTGCCCCTCTGCTGCCATCTGTCACAGAGCTACAAAATGTAATGGAATATTGGTGGGAACACTCATCCTTTACTGCCATACCACCACCATCTGCCTCTGACACTGTGGGCCAACATAATAAGATAGAAGCATTACTTTTGGAGCAGTCCTCATATTTAATTCAGGGTAAGAAAGGATACCAGCCCCATATCCTGGACTCCTAAACGTACATACAGGACACCATCAAAATACCAGCATAATATGGGTGTATGTTTAAAATCAGACAAAGTATGTACACACAAATGTAATTTCAACTTGCTAAACTTACATACCCAGCCTGTAATACAATAGCAATGTTGCTATGGGAACAAGCTCTCAACAGAAGTAGATCACTAAGCAATGACACATGACAAAAGCACAGTTTTTGATCCTTTCTGTACACATTAGAGTGGAGAGCAAACACACCAAAGCTTAAGGCTAACTGATACAGAAGATTTTTGCAGTGATCACTTTGCTTTACACATTCAAAAGGATTCTACAGAGTATTACTTGCTCATGGCTACAGTCTTTCAAGGGTGTAAGAACTTTTTTCCCTCATCTTAATATTGTTTACTTTTCATTTGTAATTTCCTGTCTTATTATCAAGTCCTTCCCTTTCTGCTTTGTTTCCACATAAATGCATTTTAAATGCTAATACTTCCTTCCATTGAATGCCTCTTTCTTCTCTTTCTCTTTGTGTAAATTTCTTTCATGACTTTCAGTCCTCCTTTGTACATTATGCAGCCTACCTTTCCTCAGAGCTATGCACAACTCCTCCAACAGGGAGGCCTCCATGTGTTCAGAACTACAGTAAGATCGGTATTTTCATTCAACAAAATGAATGCAAATTTCTTCTTCCTATCTCCTCAAAAGCCAACAGACAGTCTCTTCCCTCGTGAAAAGAAATCTCTGTTTGCCCTCAAAGCCAATTCTATTCTCCCTGCTTTATTTTCAGATCCTCAGTACAGCATGCCTGGCAGAAAGGAGGCCACTGCATAGGAAACCAAATCACTTGAATCAGCAATTCATCATTAACAGCAGATACCATGTAGTGTTGTATGGAAATAGTCTGAGGTGATCGAGGTATGAAGATGATAATCTTATGCACGGTTGGCTGGGAGTAGGTTTATATCACTCATAAGGTAGTTCTCTTAGCTTAACCGGTGTGTCAAATGAAAATGAATGGCAAGATGTGCCCTGGATGTTGTCCCACACCCTTGTAACACGCTCTGATGGTAGACGTGGCATCAGCATTCTTATAACGAGTTATAAAGCTACCTCCAACACTACCATTTTTTCTAAATAGATATTGTCACTGCTTTTGGCCCATACAGTGTGTGAACTTCAAAGGTACATTCTCATCTGCTCTTTCAAAAATATTTAAGCAATTTCAACTGTTCATTTCTTCCTGCCACGTACAGCAGCAGGATGCCTTATGTAACTGATGCTGCACGTAAACCGACACAATATAACCCTTACATCCCAGTACAGTGTAGCCAAGGACAGTGACAGTGCAGCAGTACTCCAGAAATTTCTTTACTTAATTCCTTCCTTCCATTTGTCCATTACGATTTTATACTAGATTCTTGTAGATAATTCACGTTTGCTTTTTCTTTTGAATACTTACTGAAGCCTATAAACTAATAACTTGCACAAATAGGTTCCCATCCTTAGGTCTGGAAGCCATCCTGTAGTTTATCTGACATTTCAAACTGTTAGTCAGACATTGGCAGCATCAAGAAAACTTCAACTGAAGTGGAAGGTAACATTTCCAGTTTTCTAATTTCTTCTTGTTCCACAATTATTTCTCTGCATCAGCATCCTCAGGAATTTTTAAGTCAAATATAGACTTTCTAAACTGCCAATAGCTACACTTCCATCTGCGATCTGAACAGTCAAGCTGAGCTCCTTCTGCTACACATAATACTTACACCACCATTACTAATAAGTATTGTGAAATCAGAATTCTGCAGACATTCTCTAACGATCTACAGGCAGAACATAACAATTCACTCTTTCACACTTTTACTGTTCCTCCAATTATAGATCTCATAAAAACTAATTCTGTAAGGTAACAGTTTTAAATCTCAGCAAAACTAAATGAGAGAGAACTAAATTAATATGCTAACATAATAAATATTTCAGAACCACGAGTATAACAGCAGGACTGTCCACTGAACAGGTGAATAGCACCAGTTTGGCAGAGCGACAGCCACCAGCATTCATGATTCCTTTTTTTTTTTTTGCTATGCAGCAAATAATAGCTGCTGCAACATTGTCCCAGCAAAATTACTTTTCTGTGACTTACGGAGACTCCAATGAAGTGATCAGTTCTCAGCCCCTACCTGGGCTTTACAAGTAAAGCATAGCCTTCTGCTTTGAGCAAGTGTGAAATTCAGCACTATCTGATAGAGAAACTCTCAGCTACAAAACGTTATTTATCAACATACTGAACACAGTTAGCTATGTGTTTTTGCCAGCAATCTACAACACCTTGCATGTTGTGCTTGTAAAAATCTGCACCACCAGAGGAGACCCACAGTCACCACTGCTGAAATGCACCACTCCACCACCTCAGTGTGCTCCCATCCACTGCCTGGTCTCCTTAAGCGTTCAGTGAGCTTCAATGAGTGTTTATGGTGCCATTTTTTCCACGGGGAGGAATTCGATTCCACACAATTCCATGTCCGACTGCCCCTCTGCTGCTATCTGTCACACAGCAATGTGTGATGATATACTGGTGGGAATGTTCAACCCCTACCAATACCCCACCTCTGATACTGTGGGGCAACATA